TGGGGCTCTTCTCTTTCCTCACAGGGACCTGTACGGCACTGTCCATGGCCCCCCCCTGGGGACAGGGCCCGGGGCAGTCAAACCAATTCATCCCCCCCCCCCCCGAGAGACAGCCCTGGGCAGGCCTTTGCTCAAGCCCCTCCATAAAGTGGGCGGCAGGACCTGACCTGGCCCAACCCGGTATGGCTCGCTAGCCCGGCTTTGCACTGTAGTAGGATGCGCAGCTACGGGAGGCACAGCTCCTGTGCAAATGCATGCTAGCTGCATACCCTGGCCCAGATCGGGCTGGCAGGGTGCATTTTCCATGAGGCTTAGGTGCACCTGAGCCTCATGGAAAATGTGCCCTGCCCACCCAGCCCAACCCAGTTCAGCCTAGGCCACGCAGCTAGCGTGCAGTTGCACAGGCGGCACACCTCCTGGAGTTGTGCATCATACTCAGGTCTAAAGCTGGGCTTGCAAGCCATGCTGGTCTGGGTCCTGCCATGCGCCTCCTCCCCGCAGGCAATGCAGGTCAGGCAGTACTGCCACCAGAGACAGAACCTAGCTCAGTGTGCAGGAACTGTGCATTGCGCTGAGCCGGGTCCTGCTGGCACTGGGACCACTCACACTGCCAGGCTGGGCAGGTTCCATAGTAGCAGGACCTGGCTCAATACTGGCCCCAGGCTGTAGCTCCCTCTGGCTGCAGATCTGGGAGGAGCCAGGCAGGGTTATTTTGCTCCAAGTGGCACAATTTGCCCCACACCAAAGTGCATGTCCGAGCATGTGCACTTAGGCAAAAATCCCCAGCTCAAATTTGTTCCACTTCTGTTTGAGCTGCTGTAAGCGCATGTGCCTGCATGTGTGGATGCACCCCTAATTTGTAAGTTCAGGGAAGCAACTGTATTCTAGATAGCCTGGTTAATTATACATATATGCTCAGTTCTATGAACTTTAGAGGGGCTTAAGCTTATACAAGTGATTTTCTAAATCAGGGCACAATTTAGTAATAACCATATATCACAAAGCAATGAGTTAATATATACACTTGTAGGGTATTGAACTACCCATCAACCTAGTAGTATGCAGGTACAAAAGTGGAAAAGGACCATTTTTCCTTCCTTATATCTCTTTGTAAGAAATAAGTACATTGGCAGGCCATGAATTCCAGGAAGACAAGAATATACAAGTTCAGAATTCCCAGAAGGAGTGAGGCTTCCCACTCCTAAAGAGGCAGAACACAGATTATTATACCTTCTCCTCCTGTACTCCTGGAGGCACTTGACTTTAACTACTCTCTTCTTTTCAGCTGTTTTGCTCCAGCTTCTCTTAACTTTTGACTTTTCACGGGAATAGTAACGCATACATTAATCCTCAACACACCTGGACAACTGGAATCCATCTGTCAACTACTATTTTCATAGTGTGACTGAATTCTGCATAAGACAACACAGAAGAAATTGTTCTTTCTCCAGTAATTTAGTCTTTTAACTCCCAAAACAAATTTCCAGTGTCAGACTAGCTGACATCTGCTTGGTGACCCATCATCACCTGAAAAAGAAAACTGGTTACCCTGTATCCAGATGCCCAGATCATCCTGTCAGTGAAACGTAAAAGCTTCCAGACAGCAAGAAGCTGCTGCTATGGAGTGGTTACAGCTGCAGATCAACTAAAAAGCCTGCAGCAAAACTACAGGTAAGATTCCTAGTGCTATAACAAAAGCCATTCTTTACATTTTCACTGAGTTGCAGTTGAAGTGCTTTGCTATCAATGCCTTGACAATCAATGTATACTAAAAACATAGATTTTTTATTCCTTTTCTAGCCAACTAGGAAAAATCTTCCTACCTAAATGGTAAAAAATCTGACATGACAGTTCTGTTTCAAGAGAATTTCATAAAACCATCAAACTCAAATATCTTTAAAAGTCCTTATATATTACTTTTAATTTAAATTGAGAAGTATAGTGAATCTCTGCATCAGGTTTGAGTTGCATCATAGCTTTGACCAAGACAAAGAAGAAATATTTGAATTTTGGAATGTTAGTTATTAGTAAATCAATTACTAGCCCTTTTGCTTAGTGCATTTTTAGCCTTTACTATTTCAAAGCACTCAAGACATGTGAATAGAGATTCTAGCATTAAATGATCAACCTAACAGCAGGGCCTACAGTGACAGGCTCTGATCCTATAAACTGATCCAGGGGAAAAAACATGAAATCCTTTGATGTATTTGATCAGTCATTCCAACATCATTTCTTGATGTAGACAATGAAGATTTAACTCAAAGCAGGAATACAAATCATGATAATACAGACACTTAAGTAGCTTTTGATTTAAAATTCATTATTTTGGACTAGGGGTCTGTTTGCTTTATAGCACATGACTGAAGTACAACTATTTCACCTGGATTTCTAAATTTTGCCCTAATTAGAGGTTAGAGTTTCAAGTTCTCAACTTGAGAACTCATTACAAATTTATAAATCTTGATCCACTTGATCATCTTGATTCATTATCTACTAATTCTCTAAATCCCATTTTTTGAAACCAGCTGTATAAAAGCTCTATGATTTGCATGCTGCCAACTGATGCAGTAGCTTTGTTTATAAAGCAGCTGCCAAGGTTTGAGTAACTAAGTCGGATTGTGACATGCCCATTTGTATAATTTCTATTCATTGGCAGTGTTTAAAGGTTTTTTTAACCTGTTGTTGAGATATAAGTCAAGGCACATTTCAAAAAAAGGAACCAGAGTGATAAATTTGTCCAATCATAATTTTAAAATGATAGGGCATTTACACACATACATTTTCATGCCCAGATGCACCAGAGATCTGGCATGTCGGAGCAGACCCAATTAATCAAGTCTGCTCCGCATGCAAGCTGATGTGCACATAGGGTGGCCATCATAGAGGACAGTCTGGCTGTCTTCTGTCCTCTGTTGATATGAAAACCAACACCTTTATGTCCTTTATGAGGATATAAAGGCATCAGGTTTCATATCAATAGAGGACGGAGGACAGAGGACAGAGCAGCAGAAAACTAGGATGTCCTCTATGATGGCCACCCTATGTACACAGCGTGCAACGCTTGCAGTTGTAGAAGCAGCAAAATGCACATCAGCAAGGAGAAAATGGCAGTGGTGCGCTTTTGAACTAAAACACCTTCTTTGTGTTTTAGTTAAGAAATGGGCTGCTGCCATTTTCTGCGTGCTCACACACATTTTGCCTCTTATACAACTATAAGGAATGCAGTGCCCGGTGGTTTTCAAAGCCCCAGCCCTGAGCCACTTGCATATGTAAAAATGCCCTTCAGGTCCAATTCATTCATTCTGTGGCAAATTAGAAACCTCTCTCTAAGGCCGTAGAGAGATTTGTTTGAGGGGTGGCACAGAAGTATGGCTAATGCTTACTCATCTCACAGTGTCTGTGAAGACAAAACAGTTTTAAAACCCACAAGGATTTCATACGTTCAGTTAGTTCATCCCAGGCTGCAAGAGTGCCATGCCAAAGCACTCATTCTGGAATGTTTTCTTTAGACCCACAAGAAAGCAGCATTTGGCTGTTTTCCTCATTTGCAGCCTCCAACCCTGGTGGCCTCCTGGTGTTTATCTTGCTAACTCCTTCTATAATTTTGCCCAAAATGCTATGGCTATCTACACTACCATATTGGGGGCAGGGGGAAAGAAGAAGTATTCAGTGGATTATTTTCCTTTTTAAACAAAAAATCTTTGAAGCAACACTAGACAATATCTAGAGATGCTGCTTTGTTTCCTTCTATCTCAGGACCTGTTCCATCTTCTTCCTGCAGATTCTGAAACTTGTAGAAATTGATCGATTAACAACTGATATTAAAAATTACAATATACTTGGTATGAGAAAGGATAAATTCAGCTGATGAAGGATTGATGACATTTTGGATCATGCTCCCTCTTGTTGTATACAGGGGGCAATATATTTTCTATGACTTTTATATTGCCAAGATATTCTAGTTAGCCTAGACACAGCAACTTGCAAACCTCAACATTAGTATCAGGCATACAGTTGAACATCTGCTTTTAATGAACTGACTCATAGCACTATTGTTTTGTTGTGCTTGCTGTTCTAGATGTTGAGATGACCTGAAAATAACCTAATAATGAATGCAACATTCAAGTAGTTGCTAAAGAACTCATGCAAAGCTTCAACCTCATGTCTGTGAGATCTAAATGAAAGGTATTCAAAGAGAATTGGCCCAAATCATAGAGTACTTAGAGTGAGGCAGGCAGTACCTGCTGAAGACCTCAATGCTGTACATGAGGGGTGTCCAACTGGTGACCTGTGTCCCATGAACTGTTAATATATGGCCTGCAGGCTCCCACCCAGCCCCTGCTCCTCCCATTACTCCTACTTCTATTGTGGCTAGAGGCCCTTTCTTTTGGCTTTTGCTTTCTGCCCTGCTCCTGGGGCCAGGTTGGTGTGGTTGGAGGGGGTATAGGGAGTGGTCTGTGTTGCCTGCACACTGTGCACAGCTGGGAAGAGAGGAACTGGACTCCACGCATGACCAGAAGCAGAACTGGACTACCCGGGGAAGCTGCCCCTACACATGTGAAGCCCATGTAATGTGCACCCCATGGCACTGCCTAGAATTTGGACAACCCTGCTATATATAATAAAACCCAAGTTTGGACCAATACAGGTTCTAGTCATCACATTTAATTTTTATCCTCAGATAGGAAGATTACCCTTTAGAGGAGCAAAAGGCTTGTCAGTTTGGTGATTATGGCATCATCTTTAAGCTAAATACTACAGTCCTATTTTGAATCAGCTTTTAGGCCTGTTTGGAGCTTGCTTAGCTGTGCTCATGCATGTTTCTTTGAAGAGGAAAGGAAATGCTTTCATTTGTTTCACTTTACACCTGTTCTGACTTACCCTCTGAGGATTCCAGTAGTGTTACCATATTTACCCACTACTTTGGAGTGTGCTCATTTATTTAGGGTCTTGGTAATTCTATTAATGTGCTGCTTGTGTTACTGGTGTTTCTATACGGAGCTGTATCTCTCCCCCTGCAAGCCTTCACCCCCAGTGAAGCTATCTTGCAGGATTCAGTTCAGTGGGGCTGGGTTCCTCCAGTCCCCAAATCAGTCATACCCACAAACACACACAGATTAACGTGACACGCCTGACCTGGCCGGGCTGATCAGCATGGA